ACATATATATATATATATATATATATATATACACTGTACACACTCACACACACATTATATATATACTGTACACACACACATATACACACACACTCACACACACACATATATACACACACACACACACACATTTACACACACACATTAATGTACATGTGGTCCAATCAGGCTCAATAGTTGCGCACAGAACGACTCACAAATTCAATTTGATTTATAAACACAAAAGCATTTCAACGCACTTCAATAAATTATGATTTATATTTGCGGATCGCGTCACATTTGTGTGAGTTTTTTTTGAGACTCGTCTTAAGCCTCGTTTATGCTTCTGCGTGTTCAGAGCGACGCGAGGGACACGCAAGAGTCCCCCGCGTGTCTTTTCACACCTCCTTGCGTGTAAAGCTTTGCAGCGTCCTGCAGCAGCAGGCTGTGATTGGTCCACTGACTACGTCCTTTAGAGTCTCACGTCTCCGTCTTCACAGCACGATACGGCCGTTATTAAGAGGAAGAACGTTTACGAGAGAACGGATCAGATTGAAGAACTTTTGAGGGAAGAAATGCGTAAAGCTCTTCGGTCTGATCCGTTCTCTCGTAAACGTTCTTCCTTTTAATAAACGCTAGTCTAGAAAAATGGGTCGACGAAAAGACACGCAAGGGACACGCAAGGGGCTCTGGAAACCCCCATAGCGTCCACCCCACCGTCGACCCCCCAATGTCTAAACCACGGTTACACACTTGAGAGGAGGCCTCATGGACCGGTTACTCTTCACGGACACACAGCTGGGTTCAGGTCCAGATCCAGGATCAGGTCCTGGTCTGTTGGATTCTGGTCACACATGTAGAAGCAGAGTCAGTGGGACATGGAGACGAGTGGAGGACAGTTGGAGATGGTCCTCTCACCTCTGAGCTTTGGTCAGGCTGTCATGTTCCCCACACAGAGGAGCTTCAGAGGGACGGACTCCGTCCTCTGGGTCCTCACCCTGATTCATAGCAGAGTCCACACCTTCAGACCTTCACACCAACCTGCTGGGAGAGCTCACGTGTTCTTTATCTTCATCAGGACAAACACACAGAGCTCATCCACCTCAACAATGAAACTCTCACGGGACACTTTGTGTTGTTGTCTGTTAAAGTTTAGACTTCTGGAGAAAGACGAACGTCCTTTTCCTTCTTTAAACCCTGTTAACAGGAGACGTCATTATAAACGCTCATCCTGTAAATGTCGTGTTTTACCAGGTGAACATGATCACTCGTCTTCCAGCAGATGGCGCTGTGCTGTTTCTCCTCTTGATGTCCTTCAGAGTCCAGAAGTCAGTGAAACAGACCAGTAAGGTGACACACTGGTTACCATGGCAACATGGGAAAGCTCTCTCCTGATGGACGGTTCACTTCACCATGTGATCAGTTAGTAAAAGGTCGACTACAAGCTGCTGATCAATGAGAGAAAAACTGAAGACTGAAGAAAACAAACACAGTCACAACAAAGTGACTAAATGTGTTTAAAGCAGATGAAGAAATGAACATGAAGCTTCGTGGACTTAAAGGACTGAAGCAGCAGGTGAGACAAACAGTCTCTCAGGTGTGTTTCAGGAACAAAGGCCCAGGTGAGCTCTGTGGTCCCTGCTGGGTCCTAGTGCCCCTCCGTCTGCTACCTTCCCCTCCTCATCAGTAACAGTCCTCACAGACCCCAGATCAGACTGAGCTCCTCTTCTTCATCATTCAGACCAACAGCAGCTCCTCTCTGCCTGCTCACACAGGCGCCATCTTGTTTCCCAGCTTTAAACAATCACACGTCCACGACCATCGATGATCATTCATCCAATCACAGCTCCACTTACTGATCTTGTAGACATGAAGTTCCTCAGTGAGCAGCTCTCTTCTGTCCTCAGCAGGTCCGTGTAGAAAAGGAGCTCCGTGCTTCACTTCAGCTTCCAGGTGACGCAGCTTGTTAGAGCTTGTTGTTCTTCATCACAGAGGGTGTGTCCTCACGTCACCAGCAAAGTCCAGTCTGACTGGTCGACTGAGTCTCAGTCTGAGCTGTTTACAGGGTCAAAGGTCATCGTGCACAGAATCCTCCTCACGGCTCAAACAAGCGTCTTTCAGGATCAAAACCAGCATCTGTGGAACGACCCTTTCTCCTTGTAAGGAGTTGCTATGACAACGGACTGGATGCTGTAGTCTGGACCAGACGGTTCAGAGCAGTGATTCTCAACTGGTGGTTTTTAGTGGGTCGCGGGTCTTTGGCTGGGAAAATAAAACTTAGAATTACCAGCTGGCTGTTTTGTGTTGTCGTACGTATTCTGTCTCAGGCTCAAACTGCTTGGCTACAACGGCTTGTCATTAAGGGGTGATGGTGGGTCCCGGAGCCAGACCAGTTGAGAACCACTGGTTTAGGGGACCCGTCCACGCCCCCTTTGTCTCCTGGTCTTCTCCTACATGGAGACTAGTAGGGAACACGTGATGAAGCAGGAACCTTTGTAACAAATGTGAATAAAACATCCACCAAGACAACAGAGTCTGAGCGGAGTGTTTTTATTCTTCACCCACGTGGATGAACCTGTTGGTGCAGAACAACTTCAGGGTGAAGCTGCAGGACAAACCTTCTCCACCAGCAGCTTCGTCACAAAGCAGCAACTGAATAACTTCAAAGTTAACCAACAGTGCAAAATAATTGAAATAACGGTGGGTTTTGATGATTAGATCTGTCATCTAAAGCAGCTTTATTAAATGAACTGAAATCAGATCTCCATGTTGATGGATTTTGTCTTACTGAAACGTGTCGAATGGGGAATATTTCAGCTTAGACGAGTGGTGATATTACTCGTGTTCCTCCAGGCGCGCCCAGCAGCGTTTAGGACTCCGGCCTTTCAATGAACCCTAAACTGGATTAGAACCATTTGAAAGCCTGGTTCTTTACAACCAAACCAGCAAAACGATCCAGCCGGTTCTCTTAAGCGTGTCAGGGCCCCGGTTCTCATTCAGAACCTCTATCTGAAGTTCTTAACAAGTTTGGAGTAATTACAGTGGGTGATTTTAACATGTGGATGTCGGGCGGCTTTGGTCCTCATTGTTGGATTCAATTGAGTCACTTCATCCGCCGCATCGTCTCTTCGGCTGCGACTCGCTTCGCGTCCCGGCGGCTCCTTCGACGCGGTCGAGGGACGCAGCCCTCGAGGGGCCAATGTGGACGATGTCTGATCCTCTGAGGCCAGCGGATCCTTCTTGTAAGTCAATGATTCCTTGTCTTCAGCATTGATTGGACTCTTAGAGGAAGTGACGTCATAACGGGTCTTTCCTATAAAAAGGTTCATCAATGAGGAGAGATGAACTGATCAGCTCAGATGAGCCGGAGCAGGTTCAGGTGTTTCCATGTGTTGCTGTGGTGATTTAGACAAACCTGCTTCAGGGAACCGATAAGCTGAACTACATCATCTCATCCTGAAAAGATCCGGCTCAGTTATCCACGTACGAGGACCAGGGGTCAAAGGTCTGCTGAGGCTCGTGTCCTCGTTTTGAGAGATTTACTGTTTCCCAAAACTACTTTTTATCAAATCGGTTTTATTGTGACTTTTTAAAACGTTTTTGTCTCTGGATCTTCTACCCAAAGGATCTTTGAAGACAACATCACCGATACAAATGTTACAGTACAAAGTACGAGACCCAGGCCGTCCCCCTCACCTGACCCCCCCGTGTGCTGCTTCTTACAAACACCAACATGTAATGTGAACTTCGATGACATGAGAACGGCGTGTTCATGAGTACGGCTCCTTCTCCCTT